TCCCAAGTGGGCGCTCACGGAGATCCCCTCCAGCTCAGACCCGCTCAGCGCCCTCCCCGCGGGCAAACGCGACTTCCTGGTTGGCTTGCCCTTACCTGATATGGCGGACAGTTGCCTTCGGCGGGACTCACTGCGGCTGCTCAGTAAGCCAAGGTAGGGCAATCCGGTTTGCAACCCGCCCCTGCAGCGGAGGTGCTGGCTGAAGCCTAGGGCGCGGCGTGTCCCTGCCTGGCCTGTGCGGCTAGGTGCACTTCAGAGGTTTAGGGGAGCACCAAGGAAGACGAGCACACAGGGCTGTGCCGCTGTGTGCTTACTCCTCAATCCCCGACATCAAGGCTGCTTTTAAGCTCCAGGGTGTTTTTTCCTTGTCCTGTCACCTCCCAGTCCCTGGCCCAACATGATACTGACCAAAGCCCAGTACGAGGAGATTGCCCAGTGCCTAGTGTCTGTGCCGCCCACCAGGCAGAGCCTGAGGAAGCTGAAGCAGAGGTTCCCCAGGTAAGTTCCATCTCTCTCCCCTCACAACCCTTTGCCTGCAGTATTATGACTGGGCCGGCCAGCCCGCGTGTACGAGCCACGTGTCACACATGAATGGGGAGGAGCATGGGTGTCAGGTATTAGATCCAGTATGGCACAAAAGGTTTCTTCTTTCACCTTTTTTTCCCACACAAAACTCTTAATGGATGAGTGCAATACAGCCTCCAAGGCCTTGCCATTAATTTGAAGTCTACAGATATTTGTAGAAAACGTGGTTATGTGCCAGGTTATGGGTGTATCTAGTAGTAGTTGCTTCATAAATGTCCAGTGGTTAATTGATAGATACTAGAAATGAATGAAGGGTTGCAGGTCCTCCCAAAGTGGAAAAACAGATTGTAGATTTCCAATAGGAAACAAGGGAGCCCAGACCTACGGGTATCTCATACTGTTGAGTTGTGGCTCTTACTGTTGATGCAGGTAAGTGACTGCAAGTGTTTCTCAGTCCAGTCGGACTGGTAGCCTAGGGAGTTCTACTCTTGGGTCATTTGCCATTCCAACCACCAGATTTGGGTGTTTCTTCCCATGTGGATACACATTACAGCTGTATTGCATGCTTCCTTCTCTTCCAACAGTTCTCTTTTCAGTGATTTTAGTCTTATCTGACTTTCTAAGAAAGGGCTATCGAAATTATATAGATTTCTCATTTCAAGTTGTGAAAACTTGAGACCCAGACATCACACAGAGAACCTGTTTGGGACAACCAGGTTATCATATTTATGCTTCAAACAGAGAATGTTTACTTTCCTTCTAATTTTAAACTATTAATAAATCTAATCTTGTGTCATTTTGTTTCATAGCAGTAAATATTATAATAATAAAATACAGATTGGATCTCTATAATAATAAAGTACAGATTGGATTATGAGTCTGAGGTCTTAAAACCTCAGTTTTCTGAGGACTTGGTTTTTCTAATCTATAAAGTGAGAGGGGTCTATTTCCAACATTATTCAGATTTAATTTTTTTTTTTTGGAGAGTCTCCCCCCACCCCCCTTATAGGGCGCGTGTACTCGCCAGACAGACGGAGAGAGACAGAGAGACAGAAAGCGAGAAATCACCCCCTGGGGGGATGGTCACGCCGCAATCCCTTCTCCTCCATTCTCCTCTGGGGATCTTGAGCACGCACATACACATGCCTGGCATGAGTTTAAACTGCCGGGTCCAGGATTCTAACCGTGGTCAACTACATGGAAGTCCAGCAACATAACCATTATGCCATCTGCTGGTCCCATTTTCTGGGACGTTTTAAGGTAGTACATACAGTTTGATAGCCTGCCCTCATTGTGCACATACATCACCACTGTGCAGTTTTGCTTTTCTTCCTCCATGTCCTTTTTTTAAATCTCTTTTTCTCTTTCTTTTCTGTAGCAAAGACCTTGTCATCTCTATAAGAAGTAACTAGGTACTTTTTTTTTCAAGAACATGTATGAATGACAGAAAAAGAGAGAGAAACAGCATCCTCAATAGGGTCTTAAAGTCACCATCATCCCCTAGTCTTCAGTTAGTCCTGGATCAATGAGCAATCATATGCTCCACAGTTAGACTTAGGGAGGTCTCCAGTTATGAACTGGGACTCTTAACATTTGGGATTGCCTTAAAGGCTGTCATGTTTTGTTGCTGCACCATTGTCTGCCCCCTCACCCTCAGTATTCTTTCTTCTCAACACTTACAAAATAATTCCCCTGGTGTGCAGCATCATGTTGTCTTGCTTATTCTTTAGTGCTCTTTTCTTTTTTTTAAGAATTATATTATTTAACTTTATTTATTATTATATCATTATTATTTTTCAGTTTGATCAGTGAGAGACAGAGAGAGAGAGAGAGAAAGAGAGAGAGGAAGTGAGAAAGCAAGCCACCAGGTCCGAGACTTGAACCGTGGTCAGCCATGTGGGAGTACAGCGCCTTTAACCACCACACCACTTGCTGGCCCCAAATACTCCTTTCTTTCTTATTCATGATATAAATAGTTCAGGTACTATTTAGGGAATACCTAGGGTACTCTCCTTCCACAGGAAACTATATTTAGAGAAGCCAAATTCCTATCTGCAAAGGACAGGATAAAGACCTTGATAAATTCTAAAAATCATGTGATCTTAGATTTGGGTTCACATTTTTTACTGTGCTACCGGTTTGCCATTTTTTTTTTTTTTTTTTTGAGATAGAGAGAGAGAGATTTTTGCTATAGGGATGTGTGCTTGCAGGAGAGCCAGAGAGAGGCAGAGAGACAGAAGGTGATAAATCACTCCCCAGGAGAGATAGCCACACAGTAATCTCTTTTCCTCTGTTCTCCTCTCTGGATTTTGGGCACACACCAATAGGCACCCAGCATGTTTTAAGCCAGGCCTGGGAAGTGAACTGTGGTCAACTACATGGGAGTCTAGCAATATGACCATTACACCATCTGCTGATCTCCCACCATTTGACTTTATATGATCATTGCAAGGGTCTTGAACAAGCTTTATATTTGATGTTTTATTTTACCAGAGAGTCGGTTAGGTAAGAACCTGGTAGTTCAAAGAGATTAAGTAGTTCAGTGACTTGTCAAATATCTCAGAGATTTTTTTTTAAGAGAGTCTTTTTGCCTTATGGCACATGCACTCACTGGAGAGACAGAGAGAGAGACAGAGAGAGAGAAAGTGAGAAATCACCATCTAGATAGCCATGCCATAATCTCTTCCATTTTCCTCTAAGGGTTTTGGGCATACAAACATAGGCACCTGGTATAAGTTTCAAGCCACCGGGTCTGGGACTTGAACCGTGGTAGGCCATGTGGGAGTCCAGCTAGTACACCTTCTGACCCCCAAAATCCCAGAGATGTTTACTGGCCAAACAATATACTAATCTGCCTTGATTAGTATTAATATTATCAATAATGCCATAACAATTATTTTTAGGCAAGTGGTATTCACATATATTGAATTCTTGACTTTTCCCCCTTCTAGTCTTCTCCCCCCAATGCATAATTAGCTCTTTATAGTTTGTGGAACTTGCTTTACCTCTCTCAACAAATAATAAACATTACTGATCTTTAAAAATTCTTCACAATTTGTTTCAGATAACCAGTAGTATCACATTCGAGATGTGCCACCCATTTCTTTATTGTTAGACATCAAAGGTTTGGTTTAAAAGTTTTTTGATATAATTTAATTTTTTATACACACATTCCCCCCACCCCACACACACACACCATGTCTATTTATTTTCTTATTTTAGACTCTTGGTTGGGAATGACTATATCATAAGTTTGGACTCCAGATACCTTTATAATCCAGACCCCAAGGAACTTTTGTTTATGTGTATTATATCTGTTAATATTTACCAAAATGTAAATTTAAACTGAGAAATTTAAAAATATTAACTTGGAACCAGCAGATGGCATAATGGTTACATCACTGGACTGCCACATAGTTGACTATGGTTTAATTCCTGGACCAGGTGGCTTGAAGCTCATGCGAGGTGCATATGCGTGCATGCCTAAGATTCTGAGAGCAGAATGGAGGAGAAGGGGTTGCAGTGTGACCATCCCCCTGAGGGGATGGTTTCTCACTTTCCGTTTCTATCTCTCTGTCTCTCCAGTGAGCGCACATGCTCTATAGCAAAACTCTCTCTCAAAGAAAACATATATATATAAACTATTCAAAAAAGTAAACATAGTACTTAAAATGTTTTGATAAAGACTTTTTAAAAAGAATTATTTATTTATTTAATTCCATTCGGTATTATTATTTTTTAATTTGACCAGAGAGAGACAAAGACAGGAGCCACGTACTAGCCCTTTACTTAACATGTTTTTATGAATAACCGTAATTCAAAAAAAAAGTATTGATGAAATAACTTTTTTTACACTTTAATACATTTTATGCCTGTTTTCTTTTTATAATAATTATTTAATTAAATTAATTAATTTATTTTGCTTTCCAACAAAGAACTTTACATTCTAGAGTTTGTTTGTTTGTTTTAATCATAGCCATGCTGACTGGGGGGGTAAATGATATGTCATTGTGGTTTTGATTTGCATTTTCTTTGTGATAGACACTGAACATTTTTTCATATTTTTTTTGGCCATTCATGTCTTCCCAAGAGAGTTTTCTGTTTATCTCATTTGCCTATTTTTTTAACTAGATTATTCACTTTTTTTTTTAAACAGGGGAGCTACTTTAGTTCCCTTTATGTTCTGCTTGTCAACCCCTTCTCTGAAGCAGTTTGCAAATACTTTCTACCATTCTGTGAGTTGTCGTTTCATTCTGTTTATCTTTTTTTTCCTGTATGGAAGGATTTTAGCTCATTGTAATCCCATTTGTATATTTTTGGAATTGTTGCCTTTTTTTGGGGGTTTTATTTTAGAACTCATTTCCTCCTTCAATGTCCCCCATGTAGTTTTATAGTTTGAGGCTTTACATTTAGGTCTTTTATCCATTTTGAGTGATTGTTGTCAATAGTGAGAGATAGAGGAATCCAGTTTCATTTTTCTGCAGGCAAACATCCAGTTCTTTCAGCACCATTTGTTGAAAAGACTTTCTTTTCTCCACTGGATCATTTTGTACCCTTTGTCAAAAATCAGTTATCTGTATGTTTTGGGGTTTATTTTTGGATTCTCTATTTTGTTTCATTGGTCTAGCTGTTTGTTTTTGTGCCAGTACCATGCTGTTTTGATTATCACAGCTTTGAAATATATTTTGAGGTCAAGTAGTGAGATACCTCTTATTTTATTATTTTTTTTATGGTATTGCCTTAGTAATATGGAGTCTTTGTGATTCCAAACAAATTTTATGTTTTTTTTTTTCCTATTTCTGTGAAGAATATTACCAGTAATTTGATCAGAATCACCTTGAATTTATAAATTAATTTAGGCAGAATAATATTGATATTTTAATACTATTATTCTTTGAATCCAAGAACAAGGGACATCTTTCCATTTTTTTGGTATTATATTCAGTTTCTTTTTTTTTTTTAGAGATTTTCAC